ACAGGAAGCAGAGCACATCCCAAAGGCAGCTACTCAGCTACTTGTGGTAGATCCCACCATGGAGTTGATTGCCAGTCTCATCATGGGGAATAACTACCAGCAGCTGCCCAGCCACTCAACCAGGCCCAGCCAAGTTGACACACAAACATATGCACCACATATATGCTGGATTCCTCATCAAGTAATTCTGTTATTTTGGTCACGTGCTTGCACTATCTTGTCATGTTCCTTTGTTTTACATGAAGTTGCCGGTTGTCTCTGAGATATTTTGGGCTTGTTTTTATTTGTTGATTATCTGTTGGTTTGTTTTACAAACCCCCCCCCCCTTTTTTTTTTTTTTTTGTTGTTTCCTAGACATTTTGAAGTTGCTGTCTTTATTTGTTGTTTATCTGCTGATTTGTTTCACCCTGGTTTTATGTTTTGCTTTGTTTTAATACATCTGGGCATGTGGGACAGGTGTACTTCTTTGGATGCTAGCTGGCATCACTAGGGTGCTTCCCACCTCTCTCTTGATGGGTGGAATAACTGGTGGGATAGTAAGTGTGGGTCTCTGTTTTGTATTATGAAGAGGAGCTATGGTTGGCATGAGCAGGTATTGTCTACCATGTGTTGCTGATCCAGTGCTGCAGGAATGGATGGTGGCATGCACCCACTGCGTAAGGTCATAGGTGGTAGTTGTGGTAAATATGGCCGACTAGTGGAGAATTAATGTCTTGATCCCTTCCAGATATGTCCACACTGTGTCTCTGTCCCAGTGTGGATTTCATGACATTGGTTTCTCCTAGCCTATATATGAAGACTTCTGTGTCTCAAAGTGGCCATGCTTCATTTAGTTTTGGCTTCTTCTCTCCCCCCAGGTATTGTTTTCACTACATCTCCTTTTCCAATCAACACTGAATCTAATTCTATATCCTCTCATTTTGATGCTCAGTGTTCCATGATCATTATCTGTAACTGTTCCACTCGGTTTTTCTGAGTTTTGTCTCTTATAGTGAGATTGCATAGTGTGTGTCACCAGAATGCCATCTCAGCCTCTAGTCTGTATTTTTTTTAAAAGCCACACCCAGCTCTGCATCCTCCACCTGTACTGACCCAACTCAAGAAAATAGTTTTAATCTGAACAATAATTTATAATGTGCATGTGAATTATTAATGTTTTAAAAAATCTGTTCCTGTAAGAGATTTAATATTCTTTTTACCTTCAACTAATGATATGAAATATCATTTGGGAATTGAACAAAATAGAGATTGTGAGTTGATGCAATGGCACAGGCAGTTTGTATATCTTTTCTCAGTAAAACCTATAGTCAGTGAAACCCTCTCATATTGGATGAAACCCACTCATATTGGCTCCAAAGAGTGGGTTGTGTGCATCCCTTTCCAAATGCACATTCAATGATATTGTATTAATAGCTTGATGGGAGTATGGCTATGGTGGGAGTATGTTTTTACCACAGAAATCAGCAAACAAATCAACCTTCTATCCCCACCTGAGAGCTGGTCATTAAATATTTACCAGTTCACCACTGCCTGTGATATACTTTTATGGAAATCTTTTCCCACACTTATTAAACAAAGCACATGTTAAGAGAAAACAGTCTGGTAGGTTCTTATGTGGTTTGTCAGGATATTCATTCTAAGTGCAATGACACATCTAAATCATTTTTGACATGCATTAACAATGTCACACAATAAACAGATTTCAGTTTTAGATCTTTTATGTCTTTCTAGTTGGGTCCGACTCGACAGCACACAACAACAACAACAAATTCTTGACTGGGACTTCCAAGCTCCCAAAAAGTTAGCAGGGAAAGGAAGAAGAAGAAAAATTAGGAAACCAGATAACGGGCCAACTAAAAACAGTCTGAGAAATTGAGAGTCTGAGGCTGTTTGGAATCCCACTTCTTTATGTAAACACTCCAATTAACAGTGATATTTCCCACCAACACACTGCCCTGAGCATAAAACTTCCAAAGGCTTCACTTGATAGACAGAGCACTGTTTCCAATCTCCTTCAACAACTTCCTGCCAGTACACTCTCCCTCCCTGTAGGTCAGCTGGGCCTCCTGTGAGAGGGGACACATGCTGAGGACGGCAGCCAGCACCCCAGGCAACAACAGTGGAATAGTAAAGCTTCCTGTTCATCCTCTTTCTGAGTATGCAGAAAAGTACGGACTCTATTTTCATCACTAATAACCTCCCTGATAGTCAATCTTTCCCTTTACACCAGACTGGAAGGTTGATACTAACAGTGTCTGGCATCTAATAACCATCTCTTGCTCTGTAACCATGTATTGAGAGAATGAGTGAATAAGTATGTGAATAAACAAATAAATACATGATTGTGCTCATTCTGATTTCTTGGCTTGGCTTCTGCTTTTCTTCCGTAAAGTCTTTTAGAGCCCTGGGAAGTAGCCTGGGGGCCAGGGTGCCCAAAGGAAATGAGCTTACTTCAGCTTCCCCGCCTTCTTGTCAGCTGCCTGGAGCTTCCTCAGCCGCATTCTTTCCCTGGGTGTCATTTCCTGTACTTCAGACAGCGCCCGCAGAGTCTGGAGGTGGATCTTTTTTTCCCTGTAGATAATAAAGATTCTCCATGTATAACCTATCTCAAACATGCCCAGAAAAATTAAACAAATATTTTACAGAAGTATCATTACATGACCAACGGAGGAAAAATTTCTCAAGATGGGCCAGGCAAAACTAATAAACTCTGGGTAGGTAATGAGCCAACCAGGACTCTACTTAATCAGCAATATTTTTCAAATTAGATTTTTGTTTAAAAGCAAATTATGTACTTTCCAAATTTCTGCTCATTTCACTGTCTATGACTGGTTTTCATAATGTAAGACAAATTAGGAAGTTTGAATTAATGAGTAAATTGAATGGCAGAGGAATTCAACCAAAGGGATAAGAACACAGCCTTTGGAGCCAGACAGGCAGGCTTTGAACCCCATCTCCACCATGCTTTTGTTCTGCAGACTTGAGTAAATTACTACACCTCTCTGAACCTCAGTTTGTTTCTGTCTGTAAAGAATGGGCTGTCATGAGTATTATATGAGATAACACAGGTACAATGAGTGTTGTGTGTATAAAAGCATCCAAAATGGTAGTACTTGACTGCTAACCAGAAGGCTGGCAGTTCAAACCCACCAGCCACTCCTCAGAAGGAAGTTTGGGCAATCTATTTCTGCAGTGATACTGCCTCAGAAACCCAAGGAGGGGTCGCTGTGAGTCAGGTCTGACTCGATGTCACGTAACAACAACAACAACAACAACAATATCTTAACTAAATTTTACTGAATATGTTTTATAACCTTATGGCAGCATGGGATAGTGGTTAATTGCACAGGTTAGTAACTTCTCTGGGTCAGACCCTAGCTCCAAAGTTACAAACTATTATGCCTCTAAGCACATTACTTAACCTCTCTATGACTGTGAAGGAAGGGATAATAAGTACGTACTTCAAAGGTTGTTGTGAGTTTAAATGGCTTAACTCAGGTAAAGTGCTTATAACAGAGTCAAGTATATGGTCATTATCCAAAATAATGATAGCCAATATTATTATTTAAAAACTTATTTTCTTCAGTTAAATGATGTGCCTAAATTAATCAGGCACTGAAAGGTTGCAATCACATTCTCAATAATGTTTGCTTCTGTTCCAGACTTGGCTAGGTCCTAACACTGTACAATGTTTTCCACAATCAACTATCTCTGTGAGAAGCACTATGAGAAAATTGTAATGACCACTGCAGGCAGTTCTCATCTCTCTGGAATACTGTCCAGACCAGAGCCACCAGGGATTATGTAAATTGCACATTCCTTATTTCTTAAGAATGTTGTTGTTGTTATGTGCCGTTGAGTCGGCCCCAAGTCATAGCGACCCCTCCTTGGGTTTCCGAGGCAGTATCACTACGGAAGTAAATTGCCCCATCTTCCTTCCGAGGAGTGGCTGGTGGATTTGAACCGCCAGCCTTCTGGTTAGCAGTCAAGTGCCTTAGGCACTATGCTACCAGTTGTTGTTATTAAGTGACCTCCACCAAGTTCTGACTCCTAGTGACCCTATGTACAATAGAACATTGAACGGTGCCTGATCCTGCATCATCC